CCCACTGTTTCTGCCTTCACATCTCTTCTATCTACGCTCTCCTCCCTACTCACATGGAGACCACCTAGTTCAAACCCTCATTATGTCTCACCCAGATCTCCCAACTGGTCTCTCTACCTTAAGTCTCTCTCTACTCCAGCTTAACCTACGTGCTGATGCCAAAGCATTCTTCCTCCTCATCTTCTCCTGGTTTCTTTTAGGTCCCAGCTAAAATCTCACCTTCTGCAGGACACCTTTCCCAGCCCCTCTTAATTCTGGTGCCTTCCCTCTCGTAGACATTTCCCATTTATCTGGTACACAGCTTGTTTGTATACATGTTTACTTGCTGTCTCCTCCATTACATTGTGAGGGCAGGGGCTGTATTTTGTCTCATTTTGTATCCTCAGCTTAGCACAGTGCCTGGCACATAGCAGGCACTTATATATGTTTATAATGAAACAGAGATCTGATTATGTGATTTCCCCCCTCAATCAACTGCAGGTGATCTCTAATGCCTCTAAGCTAAAAACAAACTCCTCCTATTTTTGAAAGTCTGACTCCAGCATGTTTCCAGCCACACTGGCCTTCTATGTCCCTCACACAGGACACCCCACCTCCCATCTCAGTGCCCTCACTCCTGGATGAGCCCCATGTATAGAAGTCCTTCCCCAGAGAATCCTCTTGCATTAAAATGCCATCATGAAGCCTTTCTTTATGTCCATAACCAGGTTCTCTCCCCCTAAACTACCCTCTATTTAACTTCTGTGTATGGATATGAATTTATTAACTTTATCTTCATGCCGTATGTCCCCTGTAGATAGCCATGTTGGAAGCTCCTCCCTTGACCAGGAAATGTGTCAGTTGTATTTTTAAGTCTACAAACCCATTCCTCACAGTCCCCCTCGACAGGAAGGTCATGGAAAGTGCTCCCATCCATGAGGAAACTGTATTCTAAGAGGCAAAGTGACTAATACATGTAAGCCTGGGAACTCCCTTCCTCCATAGACTGCAGCCAGCCTACGACTTAGTTTCATCAATCAATAAGCATTTATGTTTTAATCAATCAGTAAGCATGTATTGAGCACCTACTTTGTGCCATGCACTGTGCTAAGTGCTAGGGATTCAAATGCAAAGGCAAAAAACCCTGCTGTCAAAGAAGCGCTCCGTCTAATGGAGACAACACGCAAAATGACCGGATATGGGATAAACCAGGCATGATCCACAAAGCCGGGTCCTGCATGAGAGGTTGGTAAAGAGTCCTTTAGTGGGACGGAGGTTGGACCAGAGGGCCACTGGGGTCCCTTCCAATTCTGAAATTCTAGGACCATTTACTCTACTACGTCAGCCCCTTTACATTAATATAGGGCAATTTTTTTGGAGGGGGGGTCCAGACTTACAATTTCATCAGCGTGGGGAACTTTTTGGGATAGGTTTGTTTTACTTTTATTTAAAAATTTTTTCTTTTTGGCTCTTATACAGTGGAGGGGAAATGGGGGGAGGTGAGAGGGGAGGAGTGAATCTTATTCTCATAGGATTTGGCTTAAGGAGGGAATAACATACACAATGGGGTATGGAAATCTATCTTACTCTACAGGAAAATAAGGGGAGAAGGGGACAAGAGAGCAGGGAGTTGATATAGGGGAGGGCAGATTGGGTGAGGGGATAATCAAAAGCAAACACTTCTGAGGAGGGACAGGGTCAAAAGAGAGACTAGAGTAAATGGGAGGTAGGATACGATGAAGGGAAATATACTTAGTTTTTCACAGCAGGACTACTGTGGAAGTGTTTTGCATGATTACACATCTATAATCTGTATTGAGATGCCTGCCTTTTCAATGAGGGTGGGTGGGGAGGGAGAAAGGGAGAAAATTTGTAACCCAAAGTTTTAAAAACACATGTTAATAATAAAAAAATAAGATAAAATAAGGGGAAAAAATTTTTTTTCTTTTCTATTCTAAATTCTCTCCTTCCCTCTACTCCCCCCACTCCCCCACTAGCAGGGCACTCCTAACACGGAAACTCTGCTCCTACTGATGCAGATCAGCAATTGATTCCTAATTTAGAATCTTAAAGAAGCCCCGCAGTGAGAAGTGACCTGCCAACGGTCATGTATCAGAAGCAGGACTGACCTTTTTAAAGTCTTCCTGACACTGAAGTCAGTCCTCCCTACACACCATCAGTGGGTCAAACTTAAAAGAAAGGGACCTCTGCCAGGAGCAGACTGCCACAGAAAACTACAAACCAACATTTTCTCGGTTCTGTTGTAGTCTTCCTTCTTTTGTTAAACACTTCCCAATTACATTTAAGTTTTGCCTGCAGTGAGTTTGACATGTACCCACGCCTCCTGTTGGAGCAATTCTATTAACATGAGATATGATATAATGTCATGACATAACATAACTTAGCATAATATAATATAGTAGGACTGAGATTCTCAGCTCTGGCACTGCATGTCAGAAGAGAAGAAACCAAGCCCTTCTGTGCCTAGATTACAGGCACTGACGCTGTGTCCCATTCCCTCAGGGCCTTTCTCTCAGCCTGCCATGCCAGGCTCCAAGGATGTCAGGGCTGGAAGAGATCTCAGAGGCCATGTCTTTCAATGCCCTTCCTTTTACAGATGAGAAAACTGCTATCTGGAGAGAAGTGACTATTAAATGCTAATATTGGGCAATACTCAAAGAGAGTAAACAGGATGCAGACCTTTCCAGCTCTGATATTCCATGCCAAAGGAGAGGAGACTTTAGAACTGTGGTGTCAAACTCAAAAAGAAATGATCTCTGCAGCTGCATTTTGGCTTAGAAAAACACAAATCAACATTATCTGTGTTCTCGTGCATTTTTTTTTGTTTTGTTAAACCTCTCCCAATTAGATTTTAATAGGGTTCTGGCCAGGCCTGACACCTTCGCTTTAGAGACCTTTCAGTCCAAAGGTTTGTACTGGAATCCTCTGACATTCATTCTGGTGAAACTTGTGGGCGTCTTTTCAGGATTATGCATAAAATAAACTGTATGCATTTACAAAGGAGACCAATTTTACTGAAATAGTTACAAAAATACTTTTTTTAAATTTTCTTTTTGCTTTTTGGTGAGGCAATCAGGGTTAAGTGACTTGCCCAGGGTCACACAGCTAGTAAGAGTCATGTGTCTGAGACTGGATTTGAACTCACGTCCTCATGACTCCAAAGCTGAGTCCTATCCAACTGCACCACCTAGCTGCTCACTAAAAACACCTTTTAAAAACCAAACCAAACTGCAGTTCCAAGCACAGGGAAAAACCCTGCCCTAGTCTGGCCCTGGCACATCCTGGCCCTGGCACCTCTCCTGCCCTGGGGATCTTCAGCCTGCTAGCTGTCATAGAGTCCCACATGAAACCTGGAGGGGCCGCCTGCTCCAAACTCTGCTCTCCTACAAAGAGAGTAACCCGAGACCAACAAGGCCAAGTGACCTGCTCGAGATCGCGAGGGAGACATCAGTACGCTGTGGGGGTCACGGTGCTGAGCCTGGAGTCAGTCACTCTTTCCGGTCACCCTGGGAAGTCCCTTGCCCTCTCGGCCTCAGTGTCCTCCTTGATAAGATCAAGGTCTCCGAGGTCCCGTCAGCTCTAAAGGCTCTGACCCTAACAGCATGGTGAGCGAGACACTAAGCCAGTCACTCCAGACCCGGGGTGAGAGCTCAAAGCTGTCGGAAAGTGGGAAGAGGGTGAGATCTGGAGTCAAGGCTGGGTCACTCAGGCCCTCAGAGGGCACCTCATCCCCTGCCCTCATTTTACAGATGAGCAAACTGAGGCCCAAGAGATGAAGTGGCCTCTCCCAAGGTCACACAGCTGCCAAGAGCTCAGAGATGACCAGGGACACCTCCACATGTCCAGAACGGAACTTCCTCTCTTTCCCTTCCCTATCTGTCAAGGGCCGGACCACTCTTCAGTCAGCCGGTGCTGACACCTCAGCGTCATCCTCAGTTTCTCACTCTCCCTCACCCCACACAGCCAATCAATCTGTCATCTCTCACCACTCCAGCCTGCATTGCCCCTGGCCCCTGGCCCATCTCTCCCGCCACCCGCCAGTCCCTGAGTTCAGGTCCCCCAGGTCTTACCTGAATTACTACTTCTAGTACGTAGCTGCCAACGTGATTTTCCGTGTCACTCCCCTACTCAATAAACTCCAGTGGCTTCCTATTGCCTCTAAAGGTAAACTTCTAAAAACTCTTCACAACCCGGTCCTGACTGCCTTTCCAGCTTCCCCCCCCCCACTCTCCAATCCAGCCAAACTGGTCTTCTCTGTTCCTTCCACAGCATGCTCCATCTCCAGTCTCCAGGCCTTTGCACTGGCCATTGCCCATTCCTGGAATGCCCTCCCTCTTCCCCTCTGCCTCACAGAACAGCTCAAGCAGCACTTTTTACACAAAATACTTTCTGATACTCCCAGGCGACAGTACCCTCCCTCCCAAACTACTTTATGTTTCTTTGCATTTACTCTCTTGAGATTTATTCTGCAAGAGAGTTTTCTCAAGTACTGAGATGTTAAGGGAGTCACCCGAGGTCACACTGCCCTCACTGAGCAGAGACAGAAGCTGAATGCAGATCTTCCTGTTCTAAGGTCAATTTTCTGTCTTCAAGCCCTGTTTCATCTCTGGCAAAGAAGATGCTGATCTGCCCTGCTAGAGGGATCTCCTCCTCTCGGAGTTCCCTGGACCAATGATTTCCTAGGTCCATCAACAGCCCCATACTTCCACAAGGCGCCCCGAAAGTCTTAAGAGGAGCTTTAAGCTTTAATAAGCTTCCTACGCCGCATATTTACAAAAGCAACACTGGAGGAAAGCTTAACTATTTAAATTTCTTCCACACTGTTGTGAATTTCACATAAGAAGTTTTTCATGTTAACAAACACACCCCCATTGTTAGGCGTGGCACGTGCAGCAGTGTCTGGGTGACGCCTCCTCAGCCCCGTGGATGTGTGGAGAAGGGCCCCTGCGGGACCTCGGCCCCTGCTCTCTCTACACTGGACTTTTTCATGTCAAAACTGCCATGGAGGCTGCCAGGCCTGGCTCTCTGGACGACCCGAAGACAGGAGCACGCGCGAAATCGAAGTCACTGAGCAGTGACTGATGGAAGTTTTCACTAAGCGAGAAAATCAACTAGAGTGCATGACAGTGGATTTGAATTTTAATAAGAAATACATCAGTATTTTAAATGATGAACCTCTCAAAATGTTTTGGTTAGTTTACAGTATTTAAATGTCTTAAATTACTAAAGCTTAATAAATGCTCGTATGTTAACTAAGGAAGGATTCAAACCCAGGTCTTTTGACTCCAATGCCTATGCTAGTTCCACTACACCTTGCCTCTCAACATCATCTAGCCTGGCAGTGAAATGACCCTCAAAGGCCACTGAGGTCAACCCTCTCATTTTACAGATGGAGAAACTGAGGCTGGGAGAGATTAAGTCGTTTGCTGAAGGTGATAAAGGTATTACCTCTGACTCCAGGTGTCTATTGTGTCCCATTCCTGCACTCCCTGTGTGTCCTTGGGCAAGCTGCTTCCTTTCTCTGGGCCTCAGTTTCCTCCCCTGTAAAATGAAGGGGTTGGTTTAAGACAGCTTTTGACATTCCTTACAACTCCAGACCTCGCCGGGCCTCAGTTTCCTCCTCTGTAAAATATCAGGGTTGGGCTCAGTGGCCTCTACAGCCCTGCTCTGGATTATGATCCTGTACTATTACTCTGTGCCTCAGTTTCTCCATCTGTAAAACAGAGAAGGGGCGGGCCGGGTGTGACCTCTGAGGCCCGTTTCAGATCTAGATTATTAACGTATAACTCCTCCGGGCCTCGGTTTCCCCACCTGTAACATACCTGGCTTGGTCTTGATAGCCCCTCCCCCTCCGTGGGCCTCAGTTTCCCCGTCCATAAAACGCCAGGCGTGGCCTCCACCGCCCGCCTTCGCCAGGCCCCTCCCCCTTTCTGGACCTCGGTTTCCCTGTTTGTAAAACCAGCCTAGGCCGCGACGCCCCATCCCTCCGTGGGCCTCTGTTTCCCCACCAGCCTAGGCCGCGACGCCCGCTCCCTCCGTCGGGTCCCTTTCCCAGCCCGGGCCTCAGTTTCCCCCGGCCTCCCGCGAGGCCCCGCGCGCCCCCGACCTTACCTCGGCTCTCCTCCGGGGCCTCCGCCGCCGTTTCAGCCGGCTCAGCCTCAGCCGCCAAGCGGCGCGCTCTCCGGCCGTTGTCAAGGGGACGGCTGACGTAGGACGGCTGGCGGCCGGGGACAAACTTCGCGCGCACGCGTTTCCTCGGCGGGGCCGCAGACGCGGAGCGGAGCGCCGGCTGCCACAGCGCCCCCTGGCGGGAGGCGGCGGAAGGAAAAGGCGCCGGAAAGAAAGGACGCGGGAATTGAGGCAGGGTGGTGGTGCTCCCTACAGGACATTCCATCTCCGGACTCCGCGCGTTTGCACCCAGTCCAGGGGTGGGGAGCCTGCGGCCTCGAGGCCACACGTGGCCCTCTAGGTCCAGATGGATTCAGTCAAAGGGCCACACTTGAGGACAGGTTCCCTACCTCTGCCCCAGTCTGCAACCAATAAGCATTTATTAATTCAATAAACATTTATTAAACGCCTACTGTGTGCCAGGCACTGAGCTAAGCGCTGGGGATACAAGAGACAAGACAGTCTCGGTCCTCAGGGCGCTTACAATCTAAGTATCTCTTGTTTGCATCTGAAAGAGGCAGTGGGGGGTCCGGGACTTTACTCATAACACTTAACCTCCCTATGCTTCAATTTCCTCATTCATCAGCAAACCGAGGGGGCTGGGCTCAGTAGCTCTCGGCCCCTTCTAGCTCTAAATCTCCAATCTGCGCGTTATAGAAGGAGGGGTGTATGCGGCGGTCAGGAGGAGTCCTCTGGTGCCCACCCGCCCCCCACCTCTCCCCGCGGCTCCAAGAAGCTGTGGCACGCACAGCGGCCACACCCCGTAAGGCCATCTCAGCAGACGCTAGGCCAGGTGGGGGGGTGGCCCAGGGGGGTGTCTACCACGCGTTGGAAGGCTTCTCCCTGCAGGAAAGAACCGTCGTCCCGTAATTCAATCTGTCAATACATGTTTATTAGACACAGTTCCAGGCACTGTGCTATACTCGATACCTACGTGGTTCATTGAGTGCCAGTGGTGGCAGAAAGGGAAGAGAAGAATTTATTAGGCACCTACTACGTGCGTGCCAGGCACTGTGCTAAGCATTTAATGAATATTATCCCATTAGATCCTCGTAACAGCCCTGGGAGATTGGTGCTGTTACGGCCTCCATTTTACAACTGAGGAAACTGAGGCAGATGGAAATTAAGGGATTTTTCAGGGGAGTGTCCAAATTTGATCTCAGGTCTTCCCGACTCCAGGCCCAGCATTCTATCCACTGTGCCTCTAGAGAGGGACCCTGTGATATACACATTTGGGGAGACCAAGGCATAAGGCATTTTTAAACTACATTTTTAAAATTTCCTTAGAGTTTCACCCTGGGATTAGAGCAACAAATAAAAGAAAAGACAGTAGCTCCCTTGGGCTCAGGCCTCCAGGATCAGATGTGGGTCCTTACGAGTCCAGAGTCTTTAGGAATATCTGGACCATGGCTGACAGATTGGAGATTCTTTGTTGGAGAGTTTTTAAGACAGTGCTTTGTTCCACTGAATCAAATGCTTTTTTGTCGTAAACAAAAAATAAGCATCCTAGGATCTTCTATTTGTAAATGCGTTTATATTCTAAATTACTGTCTTGTGATCTTCTATTCACAAATATGTTCATATTCTAAACTGGTTTTTGCCTTTGACTGCCATATCTCTTTGCTAGATCAAACATGGGTAGCTAGGTGGCACCATGGATAGGGTTTATGTGATTCAGAGTCATAAAAACTCATCTTCCTGAGTTCAAATCTGCCTTGAGGCACGTACTAGATGTGTGACCCTGGGCAAGTCATTTAACCTTGTTTGTCTCAGTTTCCTCATCTGTAAAACGAGCTGGAGAAGGAAATGGCAAACCACTCCAGTATCTTTGGCATGAAAACCCTTAATGGGGTCACAACGAGTCAGAAACAATTGAAAACAACTGAACACAAAGGGACGAGTGTTTGCTGAATAAGGTGGTGAAGTGAAGTTCTGTGATTGGTGCCAATGTCCTTTCTCCCATCTATTACCCGTATCTTGGACATCAATTTAAATAAGTCAGATTATAATGATTTTAATTCTACTCATTTATTCCAATTTCATTAATAGCAAGAATGTCAAGATGAATATGATCCAGCTCTGTTGCTAACACATCCACCGATGGTCATTGGACAAAGATCTCACATTTGGAGAGCAACAATTAATTACATTAATATTTATATTACATTACATTAATATTTATTCATATAATATTACATATTAATATTATACAGTTTCATTAATGTCATATAATGTGCAATGTATAATATTACATATTAATATTATACAGTTTCATTAATGTCATATAATGTGCAATGTTATGTAATTATATTAATGTTATATAATATGTAATTACATATTAATATAATATTACATTAATATTTATAGATGATCCCCAAACTGAGTGAATCCTTTTGCTTTCAGCCCCCACTGTAATCATAACAGAAGCATAAAGGGGTTGTTCAGGACTAAAGACTATTTTGTAATTTTCCTAGGTTGTGGTGGTCAAAGAATCCATCGTCAGTTGGCCAGCCTAGGGGCGATGGAACTGGTCCTCAGACAGCACCAGTTGCAAAGACTTTAAATTAGTCCTTTGTTTGTTTGTTTGTTTGTTTGTTTGTTTGCATGGTAGAGGCTGAAGAAGCCTGAGCTCTGCTCTCACAGGCTTTGAGTAGCAGGGTCACCTCCACACCAAGGTGAGGCATCAGAGCAGGGCTCTGTGGAGGAACTTGGAACATAGAATATAAGATGTCAGAGCTGGGAGGGACCTTCTCAAATGATCACACACATACTTGTGTGTATAGGAGTTTTGTTTCCTCCTAGGAAAATTTAAACTCTGTGAGGGCAGGGACTGGTTTTCATTCTGACTGGGAATCCTTTATGTCTAGCACAATGCCTTTCCCTTATAAATATTATGCTCCAAAAATGCCTATCGGAGTCATCAGGTTGGACCCAACTAGTCCAACTCTTTAATGTTATAGGGAAAGAGCCTGAGACACAGATAGGAGAAATGCTTTGCCCATAGTCACGTGGCCCTTCCATGAACACATGGTTACGAAACTCTTGGCTAGGGAATAAAACCCACAGCAGCATCTGTCCGTACCTAATGCCCAGTGTCACCTGAGCACCTGGGTTTACTCAGAGTGCACAGCTCTCTGACTATTTTTTTAAACAACTTCAGGCCCAGCGGGGCCAAGACTTAGAAAGGACAGCGGCAACGAGAGATAATGAGCCTCATCACGCCAAATTGCATGAACTTCTGACTCGGCTAACGAATCATTCCAAAACAAGGTCAGGGATGTCAGAAGAGAGGGACAGATCGTGGCTGAGGCAGGCACCCACAATCAACCCTGCAGTCTGATGGAATTTGAGATCGGGCGCGCTACTCATATTGCATGGTGGTTGAAACAAGAGGCCTGTGATTTTCACTCCTCGCATCTCCTTCCTAGTCAGTCAGTCAATCATCGTCCTAGTTTTGAGCACTCCAGGAGAGGAAGTGTGGAGAAGCGGATAGTATATGCAGCTGGGTTCAGCAAAAGCCGGGGTTCAATTCCTGCCTTTGACATTGACTGGTTGTGTGAATGCAGGCAAATCGCTTCCCATTCCTAGCCCTCAGCTTTCCTCTTCTGGAAAATGGGTATAATGGTGACCTTTAGTACTTAATTCAGGGGGCCATTGTGAGACTAGAATGAGGTAATGTATAAAGTGTTTGGGGAGCTTTAAAGCACTGCATGAAAGATTAAGATGAAAGAGGAGCGTGTGTGGGCCAGCAGCAGGCTCACTGGCCTTGAAGGCAAAAAGACTGGGTTCTAGACCTGGCTCTGGAACTGGTCAGGTGTGTTCATTTGGACAAGTCACTTAGTTCCCCTCTTGGGGCCTCAGTTTCTCCTGTTGTAAAACACAGGGTTCAGATGGAATGATCCATAAGGTTCCTTTCAAGACCTAATGTTCTAGGCAGCTGGGTGGTACAGTGAACAGAATATTGACCTGGAGTCAGAAAGACCTGAGTTCAAATCCTAACACAGATACATTTTAACTGTGGAACTCTGGGCAATCACTTCTCCTCTACCTGCCTCAGTTTCCTTACATGAAAAACAGAGATAACAACAGCATTTACCTCCTAGGGCTGTTGTGAGGATCAACCATTTGTAAAGTGTTTTGCAAATCAGGAGATGAGTCTATTCAATCAACAAGAATTTATTAGCACCCGCTACCTCCATCAAACACCTACAGCATGCAGAGATGGGGACCACTTAGTCATTCTGCAAACATTTATTATGTACCTTCTCTGTGCCAGGCTCTGGCGATACCCCAGACAAACGACCAGGCCCCCTGACCTCCAGCGATGTCTAGTCTACTGGAGGAAAACATGGGGCACAAAGAGAGGTAGAGAGGAGGCCATCGGAGGAGGGAGGCTCTGGTCAGCAGGAGCAGCCAGAGGATGCAGCCATGCTGGCACGGACTTGTAGGCAGGGCGCTTCTTCTTCTCCTCTGGAAACGTCCAAGAACCTTTTACTCACTTGATTGGGAGGATAAAAGTGAGGACAGGGTTGGCACTGCCAGGGTCAGAAGAGGGAAACTGAGCTCCCAGGCTGGTGACGGGGCTAGTTTTGCACAGTCACTGGACAGCTCAGGAGAGAACCGAGCTTCTCAAGGGTGCTATAAGTCCCATTTTACAGACATAGAACAAAGAATGTCAGAGGAGGGAGGGAGCTTAGAACAGGGAATGTCAGGGCTGGGAGGAACCTACCTTGAGAGGTGTGTGGTCAGCAAATCAAAAATGTGAGAAGATAGGTTGCATCCTACTGTCCTCCTTACAGTCAATCATACAGAAGAGCTTTAAATGTAAATATTTAATATTATATTATATGTTAAATATAAGTAAAAATAAACAGTAGTTTGGGTGTTTCTTGGGCCTTTCTTTGAGTCAGATCATGCAGTTTGAGGATTTTTCCCAATCTCCCTCAATGCCTTCTGCTAGCTCTCCTAGGAGTGAGCAGAGGCAGAGTGGAGCACCCGTTGCTGACTACAAAAAAAAAAGAAAAAGAAA